CTGCGTCAGCCTCCCGAGTAGCTGGGACTACAGGCACGCACCACAACGCCCAGCTAATTTTTGTATTTTAGTAGAGATGGGGTTTCACTACGTTGGCTAGGATGGTCTTGATCTCTTGACCTCAGGATCCGCCTGCCTCGGCCTCCCAAAGTGCTGGGATTACAGGCATGAGCCACCGCGCCCAGCCTTTTACTGAAGTTTTTAGCTTAAGAAACAGCTAAGCAATTCTGTTTTAAAAATTGTAGCCCCCAATTAAGTAGCACAGAATTTCTTAAGACCAAAAAAGAAAAAAAAAATGGCCTGGTGCAGTGGCTTACACCTGTAATCTCAGCACTTTACTAGGTAGGCAAGGCTGGTGGATCAGGAGGTCAGGAGTTTGAGACCAGCCTGACCAACATGGAGAAACCACATCTCTACTAGAAATACAAAAATTAGCTGGGCGTGGTGGCGCACATCTGTATTGCCAGCTACTCAGGGAATTCAGATCTCAGGCTGAAGCAGGAGAATCGCTTGAACCTGGGAGGTGGAGGTGGCAGTGAGCCAAGATTGAGCCACTCCAGCCTGGGTGACAGCAAGACTCCACCTCAAAATAAAAAAAAGTGAAAAACTCAAAAACTAATTCCAGAATCCGGACACAGTTTCTATTGGTTAAGACAGAGAATTAGAAAAACTGCCTCAGTATGCCCAGCCTTTACCTGATAAATCAGAATTGCTGAAGACAAGGTAAGAAGTTGCTTTGGTCCCTCCACCGGCTTCTGACTCAGAGATCCATAATCTGTACCATGCCAGAAATGTGCACCGTTGTCTTTCTACCATAGGGGTACTGCTTTTTCAGGTACCCAAAAGAGTGATTTAGCCTTCCCTCTTATTTTTCTATAGTAATTCAGAGACTGTAGTTAACAAAATACTGGGAAAGGAAAGATGGGAAAATAGTAGTGATACATTGCATCTCTGGAATTCTAGTCCCCCAAATTAAGGAGATTAAGATACTGATGGAAACAGGAAGAACTCTAGCAGTTGTGAGTGCTGGGAATTGAAGTTTTTACTTTGTCCTTTGGTTCACTGAACCAGATAGTAGGGTTGGAGAATTCATTCCTTGAGATACCATGTGTGAATTTAATTTAGACGCTGGGAATTGCTCTATAAGCAAGGAAACTTAACCTGCCCTTTAGTTGAAGCTACAGGAAATTAACATTGTGGATAAGATGCAAGTAATGACAGATCTTGGATGTGGCCATGAAATAAGTGGCTGAATCAGGTGGAGGATTAGATTATTAGAAGAGAGGAAATTGGCCAGGCGCAATGGCTCATGCCTATAATCCCTGCACTTTGGGAGGCTGAGGCAGGCAGATCACTTGAGGTAAGGAGTTCGAGACCAGCCTGGCCAACAGTGAAACCCCATCTCTACTAAAAATACAAAAATTAGCCAGATGAGGTGGCGTGTGCCTGTAATCCCAGCTACTCAGGAGGCTAAGCCACAAAAATCCTTTGAACCTGGGAGGAGGAGCTTGCAGTGAGCTGCGATGGTGCCACTGCACTCCAGCCTGGGTGACGGAATGAGACTCTCAAAAAAAAAAAGAAAAAAGAAAAGAAAAAAGGAAATGATTCAATTGAGAGGCCAAAGTATTGGAAAGATTTTCCATAAAAGTGAACAGCCATGAAGAATAAGGAGGAAAGGGGTGGGAAGAATATTCTAGGCATAAAGAGCAGTATAATCAGAATTATAAGTGTGAAATATATTTTGGAAGCTCAAGAAGCTAAGTATGGCTTGAGTATAAAGTGGAAATGGTGCACAAGCAGGCAGTGGTAGTATAGAGAGTGCCACAGAAACTCTTGGTTGCCTACCCTACACGTACCCTTATTTCTTGTTAAGGAAGGCCCTCTCAGTAGATCTCACCTCAGTCCCAGGGGATAAGTTAGGACTAGTTTAAACTGGTCACTTTAACTCCATTTTCTTTTCCAATCATTAGTCTGTGGGTAGCCATATGACCCAGCTCTGGCCAGTAAACTCAAAGAAAAAGTCTTTGGAGAACTCTGGAAATGTTGTCTTTCCTGGTTAAGAGAGTGTGTGTGTGAGTTAATCTCTGGAAAGAAGACTCTTTTTTTTCCTCCCATCTGTTCCTCTCCTTCTTGCTTGGTATACTGTGGAGTGTGATGTTCAAAGCAATGACAGTAAATTTGTAATCATGACTAAAAGATGGTCCACTGAGAATAGCAACGAGCAAAGAAAGGGAGCAGATCCTTGGCTGGGTGCGGTGGCTCACGCCTGTAATCCCAATACTTTGGGAGGCCGAGGCGGGTAGATCACTTGAGGCCAAGAGTTTGAGACCAGCGATGCCACCATAGTGAAAACTCGTCTCTACTTAAAAACACAAAAATTAGCCTGGTGCAGTGGCACGTGCCTGTAGTTCCAACTACTAGGGAGGCTGAGGCTTGAGAATCACTTGAGCCTGGGAGGTGGAGGTGGCAGTGAGCCAAGATCACATCACCACTGCGCTCCACCCTGGGCGACAGAGCAAGACTCTGTCTCAGAAAAAAAAAAAAAAAAGAAAGAAAGAAAGAAAGAAAGGGTCTGAATCCTTGATGCATTGTTGGCCTTTTGGCCAGGCTAGGAATTACCCACTTCGAGAGTTTATATGAAGTGAGATCAATGTTTTTCTTGTTTTAGCCACTGTTATCAGGTATTCTGTAACTTGGTAAACATGGAGGACTTGGCAAATGCTTTTGCTGATTTTTCATTTGTGGTATACTGTCTAATGTCAACCTTAAAATGAAAACAGTCCGGGGGTGGTGGCTCACGCCTGTAATCCCAGCACTTTGGGAGGCCAAGGCCTGATCACCTGAGGTCAGGAGTTTAAGACCAGTCTGGCCAACATGGTGAAACCCTGTCTCTACTAAAAAAATGGAAAAAGTAGCCGGGCATAGTAGTGGGTTCCTGTAATCCCAGCTACTCAGGAGGCAGAGGCAGGAGAACCACTGGAACCTGGGAGGGAGGCGGTGGTTGCAGTGAGCCAAAATCACACCACTGCACTCCAGTCTCCGTGACAGAGCAAGACTCCATGTCAAAAAACAAATTAACATGTACGTTTTAATTAATTGAACCACTATCCAAAGATTAATCAGGTAATAGTTTTTATTTTGGAATATTTATACTGAATTTCTCCCTATATAATCCCAAAGAAAGAATAATAATCACTATTAGTTGTGTTTAGCTAAAACAAAAATTGAAAAAAAAATCCCCAAAATGTATAAAACATATATTTTTTAACTTTTATTTTTAAAATAGAGATGGAGTCTTACTCTGTTCCCCAGGCTGGAGCTGCAGGTATACAATCATAGCTCAATGCAGCCTCAAACTCCTGGGCTCAAGCCATCTGCCTACCTCAGCCTCCCAAGTAGCTAAGACCACAGGCATGCACAACCATGTCCAGCTTTTATAAAATATTTTTACATGAAATATTCTGAAAACACTTTGTAAATATAGGATTCTTCAATAAGTATGTGAAACTAAGATTATTGGTCAAGAGAAAGCCAGGCACATGGAGGATTTTTTTTTTCTTTTTTTTTTTTTTTTTTTGAGACAGGTTCTCTCTCTATTGCCCAGGCTGGAGTGCAGTGGCATGATTATGGCTCATTGCAGCTTTGACTTCCCAGGCTCAAGTGATTCTCCCACCTCAGCTCCCAAGTAGTTGGGACTATAGGTGCACATTACCACACCCAGCTAATTGTCTTTTTTTTGTAGAGATGGGTTTTACCATGTTGCTTAGGTGGATCTGCAACTCCTGGGCTCAAGTGATCCAACTGGCTCAGCCTCCCAAAGTGCTGAGATTACAGGCATGAGCCACCACACCTGGGCTGAGGATTTTTCACTAAAATCCTCAAAATTAGGATGAAGCCCTATGCAGGATGACATACGGTCATATGAAAGCAACATATGATAAAAAATAGCGAATGTTCATTGAATATTCAATGTTCATTAATTCATTGAACATCCTTTGTCTTCAAGCCTGAGGTTTTCACACTATTCTAAGCACCTGACATTTATGGATCATTTAATCCTGTGAGATAGGTAACTATTGTCTCCCTGCACCCTCCTCCCTTTCTTTTTTTTTGAGACAAAGTCTTGTTCTGTTGTCCAGGCTGGAGTGCAGTGGCACATCTCAGCTCACTGCAACCTCCTCCTCCCAGGTTCAAGCGATTCTTCTGCCTCAGCTTCCAGAGTAGCTGGAATTACAGGTGTGCACCACCACACCTGACTATTTTTGCATTTTTGGTAGGGACAGGATTCACCATATTGGCCAGGCTGGTCTCAAACTCCTCACCTCAAGTTATCTACCCTTCTTGTCCTCCCAAAGTGCTGGGATTACAGGTGTGAGCCACTGCGCCTGGCCTATTGTTCCCATTTTTATAAACTGGAAGATGTAGGCACAAGAAAAAGTACATTGTCCATTGCCATGCAACTTGAGTGGAAAAGCCAGGAACATGAACTCTGGCATTCTGGCTGTAAGGCATGTGCATATTATAGCTATACTATTCTGCCTTAAGGAAGTTGAGCCCATACCCCTCTTGAGTATTCCTACTTGAGGGAGGAGAGACACTTTCCTTGCTTGCACAGGTGCTTACTAGTGGGCAAGAGTCTAGAACCACAGTAGACAAAAGCAGTGGTATGTACATGTATGTCCATTTTTTATGCAGGAATATAAAGCTGGTTGCTCTCCAGTCCAGAGGAAATCTACATCCCTCTTAGGAAACTCCAGAGAGACACTCCATTTTGCTACATGAGTGTTATCTGTGATTATTCCCTAGGGGCTTACAGGATATACAGAAGCAACTTTTGCATCCCTTGAAAGAAACCCTAGAAAATAGTACTTTTTCTGTGTCCTTATATTTCAAGTGTTCTTTCAGTTCTAGGCAGCTCTCTGAATGGTCCACCCCTTATTGTGGCTCTGTTCACATTCTACAGGACAGAAATAGTAGGTTAAAGATAGGACCAGTTAATCTCATGGTTTTCAATTTATTGACTTTCTTGGCAGTAGAATGAGTTTCTTTTCCAAAGAGCTAGAAAACTCTGCCCAGCTTCTGCCTACAGGAAAAATTTGGAGCTACCTTGGAGAGAAGTATTGGAAAGGCACAACTTCTAGTTGGAGTCAGCATCCTTTGTCCTCAAGCCTGAGGTTTTCTGGGGGCAGTCAGGTCATGTTTGCTTGATGTGATGGACATACTTTTTTGTGCCTTCTTGGTGTTCTTCCTTCTTTTAGCAACACCTTCCCCTTTTCTTTGAAGAACTGTTCCCTCTTGCTGTATGTGGCTGTATGACTCTATAGGGCTCTGGTAGAGCTGTCCTATCACAATGTCCTGCCTTCTTTGCCACAGGAGTGGGGCATATGATTCACACTGGACTGGCCAGAATCCTTGTCTAGAAAATAAAAAATAAGAAGGGAGGAATAGCCTCTCTCTCCTTTTGGGCTGCAAGCTATAAAGAAGTGACTGCAGAGCTATTTGAGAGTTGTTTCCCTGTCCATGAGGTCAGAGAGATGGTCAAAGTCTTCTGACAACATTCTGTCCCTGGATATAGATGCGCTGAAAGCTGTTTATATTCCTGTCCTTTCCAATTACAGGAGCCAGAAAATTCCCCCTTCTTCATCTAGTTTGAGTGGGCTTCTATTATTTGTCATTGAAAGCTCTGTCCTCTAGGCACATCTTTCACCATGACTGTGAGAAATAAATTTGTGAGAGCTGGATCCTTCAAGAGCTCTCAGAGAGCTCTTCTCTGTGGGAATGCTGCCACTGAATTGGGAAACCTAGTACTCATCCTGTGGGTGAAGAGTACCCATGGCATTGGAAGCAAGGAAACATGGGATCAGATTTGTATTTTTGAAAGGTCCCTCTGGATCCAAAGTGTGTGGGATAGATTATGGGGGCCAAAGGGGTTCACTCACAGAGTCTTTCTGAGGCCCTGATTGGTGCCTTTTGTTCCTGTCCTCATTTCTTTTCACAGGCCTCAGGGGCTCAACCTATTTCTTTTTCCTTTGATACTTGCTACCATTTTTCTGTCCACCGGGGTACATTTCTCCACAAAGCTCCCTAAAAAGAAGGACATATGTGCCCCAGCTCTCCATATTCTTATCATGCAAAGGAATTTTTATTTTAATAATTTCATTGCTATGTATTATGGGCATTCACATAAGGGTTAACAAAAATTACTATAGCTATTTCAATTAAGGTTCTTTGTTGTGTTGGTAATGGCAACTGGAAGTTCTGATGGCCTTCAGCCATCAGATCCAATGGGACTAAATCTATGAGCAGGGAAATGGACTTACATAAAGAGATGGTGAATGACAGACACCCTCTTGCCATCATTACTTTTTTTGTTGTCGTTCAGAATGTTTTGATCAGGAGAGAAAATCCATTTCCTCAGATGTTTGAATTAGACCCAGATGTCCCCTTTCCTTCACAGATCATTTCTTTTCTTTTCCTCCAGGCCTTATTCCCAAAGGCCCAGCTAAGGTGGAGCTCTGTATAAAGGGAGGTCAGGCACCCAAAGTGTGTATCTTAACTGGCACATGGTTATGAAGGGTTCTTTGTTGTATTGGGTTAGTGAGGTTTTTCAAGGCTGGGTTGGGAAAATACTGTCTTTCAGTTTCTTCTTCTCTTTTTTGTCAAATTATTATATTTTGAGACAGAGTCTTGTTCTGCCACCAGGCTGTAGTGCAGTGGCACTATCTTGGCTCACTGCAACCTTTGCCCCCTGGGTTCAAGAGATTCTCCTGCATCAGCCTCCCAAGTAGCTGGGACTACAGGTGCGCACCACCACACCCTGCTAATTTTTGTATTATTAGTAGAGAGGGGTGTCACCACATTGGCCAGGATGGTCTTGATCACTTGATCTCGTGATCCACTTGCCTCGGCCTCCGAAAGTGCTAGGATTACAGGTGTGAGCCACTGCACCCAGTCTCAAATTATTTTTTTCTTTCTTTTCTTTTTTTTTTTAAACTTTTGAGGTAGGGGGCCTTCCATCCTTTACTGGAAACTTAAAAATTTGTATTTAGACAAATTCTAAAAGACCTGTAACACTAGTTTGTTCTCAACTGATTCATAGATATCTTCCAAAATAGCTTGTTGAGTAGAGATGTATAAGACAAGTTGATAGTCATTGTGGCAGAGTAGCAGGCAGAAGTGGAAAGCAAAGGGTACAATAGATTATTATATTTGGAGCATAGAATTCTGGTTGTATTGCTGACATTTTCTTTGTGGCATTGACAGGTTTGCTGCCAGCACCCAAAGATATTGCTTAAGCATTGGAACCATATCCTGGCTTCTAGGTAATATGATGGAGTACTCACCAGAGCCTTAGATGAGGGTTCTTAGGCTAGGTGAATATCTACAGTCTTTTTGTTTCTTGAATTAAGAAATGTATTATCGCGCTAGACAAGGATGGCCTCTCTCACCACTCCTATTCAATATAGTACTGGAAGTTCTAGCCAGAGCAATCAGGCAAGAAAAGAAATAAAGGGTATTCAAATAGGAAAGGAGGAAGTCAAATTGTCTCTATTTGCAGATGACATGATTGTAGAAGACCCCATCTAGAAGACCACATTGTCTCAGCCCAAAATCTCCTGAAACTGATAAGCAACTTCAGCAAAGTCTCAGGATACAAAATCAATGTGCAAAAATCACAAGCATTCCTACACACCAATAACAGACTTAAAGAGAGCTAAATCAAGAATGAACTGCCATTCATAATTGCTGCAAAGAGAATAAAATACCTAGGAATACAACTAACAAGGAACGTAAAGGACCTCTTCAAGGAGAACTACAAGCCACTGCTCAACGAAAAAGAGAGGACACAAACAGATGGAGAAACATTCCATGTTCATGGTTAGGAAGAATCAATATTGTGAAAATGGCCACAATGCCCAAAGTAATTTACAGATTCAATGCTAGCCCCATCAAGCTACCAACAATCTTCTTCACAGAACTGGAAAAAAACACCTTAAACTTCATATGGAACCAAAAGAGAGCCCACATAGCCAAGTCAATTCTAAGCAAAAAGAGCAAAGCGGGAGGCATCACCCTACTGGACTTCAAACTATACTACAAGACTACAGTAATCAAAACAGCATGGTACTGGTACCAAAACAGAGATATAGACCAATGGAACAGAATAGAGGCCTCGAAGGCAACACCACGTATCTACAACCATCCGATCTTTGACAAACCTGACAAAAACAAGCAATGGGGAAAGGATTCCCTGTTCAATAAATGGTGTTGGGAAAACTGGCTAGCCATGTGCAGAAAGCAGAAACTGGACCCCTTCCTGACACCTTACACTAAAATTAACTCCAGATGGATTAAAGACTTAAACATAAGACCTAACACCATAAAAACCCTAGAAGAAAATCTAGGCAAAACCATTCAGGACATAGGCGTAGGCAAGGTCTTCGTGACCAAAACACCAAAAGCACTGGCAACAAAAGCCAAAATAAACAAATGGGACCTAATCAAACTCCACGGCTTCTGCATGGCAAAAGAAACAGTCATTAGAGTGAATCAGCAACCAACAGAATGGCAAAAAATTTTTGCAGTCTACCCATCTGACAAAGGGCTGATATCCAGAATTTACAAAGAACTAAAACAGATTTACAAGAAAAAAACAAACAAGCCCATTCAAAAGTGGGCAAAGGATATGAACAGACACTTTACAAAAGAAGACATACATGAGGCCAACAAACATATGAAACAATGTTCATCATCACTTGTCATTAAAGAAATGCAAATCAAAACTACATTGAGATGCCATCTCACGCCAGTTCAAATGGCGATCATTAAAAAATCTGGAGACAACAGATGCTGGAGAGGATGTGAAGAAATAGGAACACTTTTACACTGTTGGTGGGAGTGTAAATTAGTTCAACCATTGTGGAAGACAGTGTGGCAATTCCTCAAGGACCTAGAAATAGAAATTCCATTTGACCCAGCAATCTCATTACTGGGTATATATCCAAAGGATTATAAATCGTTCTACTATAAGGACACATGCACATGAATGTTCATTGCAGCACTGTTTGCAATAGCAAAGACCTGGAACCAACCCAAATGCCCATCAATGATAGACTGGACAGGGAAAATGTGGCACATATACACCATGGAATATTATGCAGCCATCAAAAACGATGAGTTCGTGTCCTTTGTAGGGACATGGATGAACCTGGAAATCATCATTCTCAGCAAACTGACACAAGAACAGAAAATCAAACAGCGCATGTTCTCACTCACAGGCAGGTGTTGAACAATGAGAACACATGGACACAGGGAGGGGAACATCACACACTGGGGTCTTTTGGGGGGAAATAGGGAAGGGACAGCGGGGGGGGTGGGGAGTTGGGGAGAGATATCATGGGGAGAAATGCCAGATATAGGTGAAGGGGAGGAAGGCAGCAAATTACGCTGCCATGTGTGTACCTAAGCAACAATCTTGCATGTTCTTCACATGTACCCCCAAACCTAAAATGCAATACAAAAATAAAAAATAAATAAATAAATAAATAAAAGAAATGTATTAGCACCAAAAAGTTTATTTATTTTTTAAAAACTTTGCTCTGGGTAATCTAGGGACCTTTTTTTTTTTTTTTTTTTTTGAGTCGGAGTTTCGCTCTTGTTATCCAGGCTGGAGTGCAATGGCGTGGCTCCGCTCACTGCAACCTCCGCCTCCTGGGTTCAGGCAATTCTCCTGCCTCAGCCTCCTGAGTAGCTGGGATTACAGGCACGCGCCACCATGCCCAGCTAATTTTTTGTATTTTTAGTAGAGACGGGGTTTCACCATGTTGACCAGGATAGTCTCGATCTCTTGACCTCGTGATCCACCCGCCTCGGCGTCCCAAAGTGCTGGGATTACAGGCGTGAGCCACTGCGCCCCGCCCCTAGGTACCTGTTTAAGGGCTTGACGCATCAAAGGGCTTTTAGGTGAGAAATACTTTGCTTAATTAAATGTGACATTTTTCAGCCTCTCTAAGGGAAGTGAAAAAAAGGCACCTTTCCTCGTAAGAAAAACTGAAAGCCTTATGCTGACTTAACCAGCCATAGAAGGTTAATCCGCTAAGAAAATAGCTTTTCACATTCATTCCAAAATAAATTTGTTCTTTTATACTGTGGTCGATTTTAAGTGTTGGGTATGTAAAATCTAGTTCTAGCGTCAAGAAACTTATAGCTCAGTGGGGAAATATACAAAGAAAATCATAAAATATCAAAGCATATTTCCTTATAGTGAGTAGCTCAAGAGTGAGAGGTCTCCACGTCTGTCTGTGGGTGATAAAAAAGGCTTTCCTGAAGAGGTAGCATGTAAACAGAGACAGGGTGGGGATTCTATGCAGAGTAACCAAAGTGTGCTTTTAAAAGATTTGAGAATCTTTGCCCAGTTGAGGAACTACCTGTTGAGCCCATTGGGATTGTGTAGGACTGGAAGGACGCCTAAGACCAGACACATGAAAAGCAGTTAGCACTTCAGGAATTCTGTGTGCCATGTCAGTTTCTAATACTATTCTACTCTAGAGCCATTATAGAGTTCTGATAACTCTACATTTGACTAAAGAGACCATTTAAGGCTGTTTGAAGCAAACGCCCAGGAATAAATTCTCAGAACCATCATCCCTCTCTAATCAAGTCTCTCTTGTCAGGCATGGTGCATTAACTCACAGAATTAATCTTTTTTAAGTCAAACGCGCGGCTGTTAAATCTAGGGAATTCCTAGCCCTCTCAGGTGGGCCATGGGAGGAGGTGGGCCATGGGAGGAGGTGGGCCATGGGAGGAGGTGGGCCAACACTTTCTTACGTCCAGGCTCATAGTCGGATAGTTGAGCCTTACATTTCTCCTCTAACCCTCCACAAAAAACTGGTTGTTATGGAGGCAATGGAAGCGGAGGGCTTTTAGGGGCCAAGCATATCACACAGGGAACTGAATTGCTTATTATCAGAGATGCTGACCTTTGGAGCTTTGAAGTAAAGAATTTTCGTATCTTTCTTCCCCCACCTCCCTCATTCTTTATTTTTTCACCCCTATGTCCCCCAGAATTCCCTTTTCAGACTTCCCGCTTTCTTCCTTTTCTTTCCCCACTTCGTGGAGTGCTGGCGCGTGGGGCCTGGGGCTGCATTGGCGGGCACCCGGAGCTATTGCTTTGCTAACAATTCCATCCTTCTCTTTCCGTCATTCCCTGCCAGGCGCTGAGTTTTTCCCTCCCTCTGGGCTCCTTCCCTCCCGCGGCTCGCCCGCGGGAGGGCGTCTCCAGGAACTCCAGGCGGACGCGGCCACCAGCCGCTGCCACGTCCCCGCCGCCAACAGTCCAGCGCCTGCGTGGAGTCGGGGGGCGGGGCAGAGCTGGAAGGCGGGACCTGCGCGTGAGCGGTGCTTGAGCGGTCCAATGGGGCCTACCGGCGGCGGCGCGCTGCGCGCCGGGGGGCGGGGCCTGGCGGCGGTTGCTGGCGAAGCCCGAGTGGCGGTGAAGGCTGTCGTTGCCTTGGCCGTCGCATCCCAGCGGGAGTCGTGTCGGTACCCACCCCCGGCCTTCGAGTCCGCGGATTGCCCACCGAAGCTCGTGTGTGCACCCCCCGATCCCGTCAGCCGCTAGCCCCTGGCCTTGCGGGACGTGTCTCCGGCATCATGTGTGGTAAGGGGGCCGGGGGCGGGGGGCGTGTTGCCGGGCGGCGCTGGGGTGCTGTGCGGGCGCCGGTGAGGCCCAAGGCTACGGGCGGAAGCGGGAGTGTGGAGTGTGCGAAGTCTGGGTGATGGGCAGGGGGCGTCCCGTGGTGGCTGCGGGGGGCAGGGGCCGGCATCCGCGGGCGGGAGAGGGGGTGGCGGCCGGGAGAAGGGCATCTGAGAGGAAGGCGGGCCCCCTCCGCCGGGGGCCAGCGGGAGCCTTGGCGCGGAGAAGGAACCGAGTGGGGAGAGAAACGCTTTTATTGAAAAAGGAGGAGAGGGCTGAGGGAATTGAGATGTGGAGGGGGATACCTTCAAAAGGGCCGACCAGGTGAGTGAGGCAACCTGTGGAACATCGGGCGAGATCTCTTGAACTTATCTTGCATTTTTCTAGGACTTACCTTTCAAAAAATAATCTGTTTTTATTTGTTTTCGGGCAGGCCCAATAGAAAACAGACCCTAGCTAGAGAGCCACGATAGAGGCTTTAAACGTGGTCTTACTTCCTGCCATCCCTTGTCTCAACAGAAACCACTGCTAATCAATAACTTGGTTGATGGGCTTAGACCTGATCCTCTGGTGGAAGAGGACTGGAAATGTCTGTGGCGATAGGTTATACATCATGTATCATTTGCATGTGTACCCATTAAAAATGCCAGCTATGAAAAATATAATTTATCCCTTGGATGTATACCCCTTTATAATACCAACTATGAAAAATATTTATCATTTATCCCTTGCATTTGTACCCATCAAAAATACTAGCTATGGAAAGTTTAACAAGTATCTTTCCTACAGCCGTTAAAAAATTAGTTAGGTTCTTTTATGTTTTGACAGTCGTTTTTATTATTATCTAAGTGTTAGTGAAAGAGATTGTGAGAATCGTGTCTGACATGACTGATGTCCTCTAAAATTGGTATTAACTTGGCTATTGCCAGTAAAAATAATTGTATTCTTACCTTTCTTACTGAAATTTACAACTGACTTTATCCCTGGCTGGAAGAGAACACTTTTTTTTTTTTTCTTTTTTAAGGGAAGTACCATTGTAAGTGAATTGAAACTGTCTTCAAGACTCATTTGCAGGCTTTTGCACGAAGGAACTGAACAGGAGGTGGATTGTACTCATTAATGTATATATTTCCTGTATTTAACTTTATGCTCATTTCAGCTTCTGAAAATGAGGAGCAGGTTTAAATTTAGAGTAGATTAAAAAAAACCCATATAAAAACAGAAACACCTATAAATAGCTTACTGAAATTATTAGAGTAGAGCTGACTTCAGAATCAGACTTTTGCAGTGTCTAGTTAGTAGAATGGTTTTGCATTTAGTTTGGAGGTGTGAAGTAGTGAATTTGTCAACTGGTCAGTCTCAAGTGTGTTTCATTTGTTTGTTAACTGTTTCTGATTGATTAGGTGTGTGCCTCATTAAGTATTCAGTATTCTGGTTGCAGGTTATTTCCTTATGTTCCAGAAAAAAAAAAAACATAAAGTACTTGTTTAAAAAAAAAAAAAAAAAGAATTTGAGCATGGTGGCTCACACCTGTAATCCTAGCACTTTGGGAGGCCAAGGCAGGTGGATCACCTAAGGTCAGGAGTTCGAGACCAGCCTGGCCAACATGGTGAAATCCCCATCTCTGCTAAAAATTCAAAATAACCGGTGTGGTGGCATGTGCCTGTAATCCCAGCTACTCGGGACTGAGGCAGGAGAATTGCTTGAACCTAGGAGGTGGAGGTTGCAGTGAGCTGAGATTGTGTCCAGCCTGAGCAAAAAAGAGTGAAACTCCGTCTCAAAAAAAATAAAAATAAATACATACATACATACACAAATAAAATCACATATAGAAATCAGATTCAGATAAGGGAAATACACCCTTAGCATGGAGACTAAATGTTGGGAGTGTTCACATAGTCTGTGCCTCCATTCTACAGAGTTTTACTGCTGAGGAAATGGGTATTGAAGAAATAAAAAGTGAATATTTGAGACATTTCTGAGGTCCTGCTTTTAAGTCATACCACAGTTTTGCATGATTCTAGGGTTAGGGTTCAGAATTTACTTTCTCTCTAATGTAAATTCTGAAAGAAGATGAGTGTCATTATTTTTCACCCACATCTTAATCATTGAACTAAAATTTCTGAGCAGAGAAATGGAGTGAAAATTAGACTAGATGGGAAAATCTGGAAGCTTATCTTCTGATTACTTGCGACCTAATTAAGTTTTTCTTTTTCGAGACGGGGTCTCACTGTGTTGCCCAGGCTGCAGTGCAACAGCACGATCTTGGCTCACTGCAGCCTGTCTCCTGGGTTCAGCCTCCTGAGTAGCTGGGATTACAGGGGTGTGCCATCACGCCTGGCTAATTTTTGCATTTTTAGTAGAGGTGGTGTTTTACCATGTTGGCCAGGCTGATCTCCTGACCTCAGGTAATCTACCTGCCTTAGCCTCCCAAAGGGCTGTGATTACAGGAGTGAGCCACTGTGCCTGGCTCTAGTTAAGTTTTTCTAAAAGATTATTTTATTTCAATGTTGTAAAATGTTCAAACAGAAGAATGAGGATTGAAGATTCTGATAGGCTTTTTTCAATCAGATATACTGATTAAATTGATATAATGTTTAACAACTTGTGTTGGGATGTTAATAAGTGTTAGGAAAAAAGGGTCTATGGTCCGGTAAATTTGGGAAGCAGCATATTAAATATCATGATAATGTTTTGTTTTGTTTTTTGATTAGAGGACTTCTTGGAATCTTTAATTTTTTTTTTTTTTTTTTTTGAGACGGAATCTTGCTCTGTCACCAGGCTGGAGTGCAGTGGCGCCATCTCGGCTCACTGCAGCCTCCACCTCCCGGTTCAAGTGATTCCCCTGCCTCAGCTTCCTGAGTAGCTGGGACTGCAGGTGTCTGCCACCTCTCCTGGCTAATTTTTGTGTTTTAGTAGAGACGGGGTTTCACCATGTTGGCCAGGATGATCTCGATCTCCTGACCCCATGATCTGTCTGGCTCGGCCTCCCAAAGTGCTGGGATTACAGGCGTGAGCCACCACGCCCGGCTAGAATCTTTAATTTATTAATGATAAGCATTACGAATCTCCCAGAGAAGAAAGGTGTGTCTATTTTCCAAATTTATCTTCCTTTTTTTTGGTTGGAATATAGTTTGTCCTTTTTATTTGTATTATTTTTGGTTGTGCTGAGATAGTGTTGAGTCACTTAAACTATCCCTAGCTTTTAACAGATTTTGTTATTGTTATAAATGTGGGGTTATACCCTTCTGATCCAATGGTGTATGTAAAATGGAACTTTTGGGCTGGGTCCGGTGGCCCATGCCTGCAATCCCAGCACTTTGGGAGGCTGAAGCGGATGAATCACCTGAGGTCAGGAGTTTGAGACCAGCCTGACCAACATGGTGGAGCCCCATTTCTACTAAAAATACAAAAAAATTAGCCGGGCGTGGTGGCACATGCGTGTAATTCCAGCTACTTGAGAGACTGGGGCAGGAGAATCACTTGAACCTGGGAGGCAGAGGTGGTGGTAAGCTGAGATGGTGCCACTGGACTCTAGCCTGGGTGACAAGAATTGAGACTCTGTCTCAAATACATAAAATAAAATAAATGGAATTTTTGCAAATGAGATTCTTTTTAAAAGCAGTAAGGGAACTTGCAATGTTAAAGTATCCTGACATAAATTTTGCAGAAGTTTTTTGTAATTATACTGTCTAATGGCTTTAGGGATAATTGAGGGATGCTGAGGTTGGCTGCTAGGATTGGTCATAAAAGCAGTACTATTAACATATCCTTAGAAGTCATACTGGATATGAAGAAGTTGTGAGAGAAAATAATTGCTTAATAAGCATTTCTTCAATTGTGTTCCCTGGAAACGTTAATAGGTTCTGGTAATGAGCACTAGAAGGGGGAAAGGGTTTTGTTACACAAGTTTGGGAAATTCTCCTCTTGGAGATGAACAATTAGCAAGATTAAAGGTTCTAGAAAATTCTAAATATATATCTAACTTTAACCAGGTATTTCTTAAACCTTTAATAATGAAACCTTTCTTCATTTCCTTTCTTTTTAGCATCCTGTGAAATATCATTTTGTTTCTGTGGTTTGGGAATTTTTTTACCATATATTTCAAGTGCCTAGAAAGTGTTAAAAGATACTTGCAGGTATGTCAAATGATGGCTTTATAATTGGCACTCTGCCCTTTTCAGAGATGACCAAAGAGTTGCTTTCAAGTAATTGCTGCCTGATCAGAGGAAGGAAAATTAATGCACGTGCAGCAGCTTCAGATGAAAATACACAGTCCTTGTTCATTGCCCTGTCGTAGATCACAACCGGAATGAATAGAAATTTAGAGACTGGAGAGCTCTGGGTTTTGGGTATCTGCATTAGGTCAGGAATGTTCTGGGTGATGGGGCAGGACTCTTACTTTGAGGAATAATGCCAGCTTGTAGAGAACTAGCATACTGTGAGAGATAGTCATTGATGGCTTATGTTACCCATCAATGAATGGAGGCAGAAATATGTTGAGAACTACTACCAGAGGGGTTGAAGGAGGAAATAGAAGTGCCAGGAAAGTAGACCAAAGAATAGCGGTTAAAGGCAAAAGAGTTCCAAAATAGTATATTGCCTTGGACAGAGTCTGTAAAA